GTTTTTTCCTGAACTTGAATTGTAGCCTGGTGTTTCCCTAATTTTGCAAAAACAAGTATGTCTAGCCTTTTGTGTTTTTTATTGTCTAGCTTATGAAGCATATATACAATTAATTAGACAATGTGAAAAACAAAATGCAACCTTGAAGAGATTTAGGAGGAAATTTACAAAGATAGTGACTGGAACTCTGAAAAGGTGGAAAGGGTGATTTCACAGATTGTTTAAATTCCGACCACACATACTACATTGCATATTACACAGTAGTGCTTAGCACTACAAATGAAAGCAATTTGAGAACAAAAACTAGATCTTAGAGCAGTAGCCAGCATCCCAGTGTAACAGGCAAGCAATGGCTAAAATTGATACATTGGTGGTTCAGTGGTAAAATTCTCACCTTCCATAAGAGACAAGTTCAAGCCAATATACCTTGAGCAAAGCCACCACCCGTCCCTCAGTGAAGGCCTGGATGTCACTATGATGAACAGATTTTAGTGAAGCTTCTACTTCTGAAAATCAGCTTGTGAAAACCTGTATGGATCTCAATGGCCCAATGGGCAACATTTAGTTCCTTTTATGCATGGGGTGCTTGAGTTGGGGACCAGTTCAACAACAGCTAATAACACCCCATGGCTTATCTATTTAGCTATTCATTCAACTAATACTTTCAGAATTTCTGCCCTGACAGAATTTTCAGTCTAGTAGAATAGATACATTAAAAAAAAAAAAAAAACCAAACAAACATATTTAAACTATGGAAAAATACTGGCAGATAGTGTGGGACTTACTATCGGGAATTAGAATGTGATAATTTCAGCTGAAATCAAAAGATGAAAAGCCTTTAAAATAAAAAAAATAAAGATCAGTGCAAGAAACAGGTAAATTGGAAATTTACCTGTTGCATAGGGAATAGTTTAGATTAAAAGGGGAAAACAATATATCCATACCTACCGTATTTCAGCCTCCAAAAAAACTCACCATATGAAAAACTCACCATACATGTCACTGTATTATGTACTTGTTTATTGTTACCTCCTTCACTGGAATGAAAATTCCATGAGGGCAGAGGTGCAGTTTGTTTATTGTTGTATCCCCAGAGCAGGAAATCAGACCTAGCCACACAGTAGGGGCTCAATAAATATTTGATGAGTGGATGAATTCAGAGTGTTACTCTAGGCTATAACCTCCTTAGCCGTTCTCTCTCCCCTCCTTGTTTGACTGGTTTGGGTGAACGTTCACCCAGCATATTAGTTTCCCATTCCACAATTTATACCCGCTTTGTTTGGGATCGTTAGTTGCAACCCCCTCAAAGTAACAACACTCTACCCATTTCCTCCCTGGGCTCCTTTCCCTTTGCCCTTCTTTCTTGCCCTTTCCCGGCTGCTTTGTTTTGGGGTATATTTTGCCCTTTTGGTCTTGTTTGGTTGATTGTTCTAAGGGGAACATTCCTCACAGTGTTACTTTGTAGGACTATTTTTTGGGGTGGGACAGTTCCAGTTTTGAAGGGCATCCAGCATTTTTTCATTACTGTCTTAGTAACGCTACTATAGAAGGCAAGGGAGGCCAATGTGTGGTTGCAGAATGCTACTTCCTAGGTGGGAGACCTTAGGCAAGTTCACTTTTATAAACCTCATCTTCCTCTTCTGTAAAATGGTGACGATGAGATAAATAATGGTAAGTGCTCAGTAAGTATTAGCTATTATCATGTGCCTGCAATTATTTTATAGCAGTTTATATAGTAATTTATTTAATCTCCATAACAGCCTTAGGAGGAGGTTTTATTGTTATTCTCATTTTAAAAGAGGAAACAAGGTTTGTTTCAAGAGTTAGGAACAAATTTATATGTCACTTTGTGAAGTGACTGGCACATTGTTGTTAGGTACCACTGAGTTGGTTCCAACTCACAGTGACCCTATATACAATAGAACAAGACACAACCCAGTCCTGCACCTTCCTCAAAATTGCTGCCACCCTTGAGCTCATTGTCGCACCCACTGTGCCAATTTATGTGCCTGGCACATAAAACTCAGACATCGAGTTGATTTTGACTCACAGCAACCCCTGCTTGGGTTTCTGAGGCCGTATCTCTATTTTGCCCAGTCTTCCTTCCAAGGAGCGGCTGGTGGGTTTGAACCTCCAGCCTTCTGGTTAGCAGTCAAACGCCTTAGGCACTACAAAATCTTAGCTGGAATAATATAATGGGACTTATCATAGCTGATTTGTCTTATAAAATTCACCCACACACACAAATATGCTGTTATCTCAGGTACCTCATTTTTGCTCATGTCTTCACTGAAGGGGGAACCATCACTGGGATGACTAGGAAGGATGCTGGACAAAAGTGGGAGCATTTAGGCCTTCCAAGTGCAGAGTGGCACCCCTGTGGTGGGCAGAAACTAGCACCAAGGTGCTGGGAGAGTGGTAAGAACAAAATTCTTTTGAAATTTTTTACAAAACCAGACACTTTTCCCAGTGACTTCCATGGTGTGTTAGATAGAGTAGGGGATTAATGCCTCAGAAACATTTTGAACAGCAAACGTGGTACACACAGGTTACTACACTTCAGGCTTGCTTAACAGGCCAAGACTCTGAAATAGATGATAATGGCTTCCTAAGTAGAAACTTGATCACTCCTATTCCTTAACACTCACTTTCATTAGAGCAAAGTAAGGTAATGGCTTGACTATCGCAGATCTTATTTATAGCTTGTGATAAACAAAGCCAGTAACACTACAATTAGTAAAAGTAAAGAAATCTAAAATCAAAACAAAAAGGTCATAAAGAAAGGAATGCCCCTTTAATTCTGGATATCAGTTAAGACAACTAATGTACATTACATTAAATAGAGTTAAATCTAGCAAAATCTAAAAGTCCTTTGTACTTGTGTTTAAAACACATGTCTACCACTTCCTATTATCTATCAATGCATATGTTCTGCATCAGCTATTACTTTTATATCCTGATACTAATGCCCAACCCAAAATTAAAGGCTCCTGAATATGACAAATAATAATATTCTGCATTGCAAATTTGGTATGAAAAAATTTAAATGAAAAAACTAATCATACAAAAATTAAACAGCAAAACTATTTAAAAGTACTTACAATTCAAACCGATTCGACTTACTGATATTTCTCTCTATTGGCTTGTTTTTGTAAAAACTGATTATGCCCACCTGCATCTCACAGGATGGTGGTGAGGAAGAATGAAAATAGACCACATAAAGCTCACAGACCTGTGGTTAGCACATACTGCTCAAAAATATTCGTTTCCTTTTATTATTATTTTGAAAAGACACAAGTTTTATAAAACATGCCAACTTCTATTAAAGAAATAGCCTCCTGGGAGAAATCTAGTCCAGCATTTGTTAAAAACAATTATATTTTCCTTTGAAAGAATATGTTACATGAAAATGTGTATCAAGAACTAATAAAAATTTCCCACTAATAAATCAATTTCTGGAATCTAATTGTTTTACAATGTAAGAGGTCTTTTAGATGATCCCATCTTTTTTAAAAAAACAAAAGTACAAAGTACATGATCAAGAAAAGTTTCCTTTAATAAGTACGCAAAACATTGAGAAATATTCCTTTTTTGCATATATGGCTCAGTTTCATCTTAATTTTACCAAAGAAAAAAAAAAAAGCCTGGTTTGAAATATCGAATAAAACAATTAGGTTAATACAAGGAAGGTCAGTGAACAACTAACATGCTATTCTGCCACTACCTAAGCCTTATAAATGCATTTTTACTTTACACTCTATCATATTACCCTTTCTAGTGTACTAATTAAGAAAGAGCTCAACATTCCGTCATCCTACAGAGATGAAGGTAGTTATAGCGTATTCTGCTACAATATATACTTTCTAATATTCCAAATTTAATAATTCATCTAAATGCAGTCTGAGGTATATTAAAAGATCAAAACTTTTTAATCCATATCATGAGCGATGTACCATGCAAACACTACAACTGCAACTCCACACAATGGAAGGAGGTGATACTTGTATTTTTGCCACAGTGACAGCTCAACTGCCACTTCATCTCTTCTCCTGTTCTTCTTTCGACGTCCTTTCAATCGGTTTTCAAATGCCTCCAATTCAGCCTAAATCAGAAGAGTATCGTTTTAATTAAATTCACATCAATTTTAAATTTTTCATTTGAATGAAAATAAAACTTAGAAAATGTTTTAATAGTAATGGTGTATAATAACCATATTAATTTGATTAAGAAAAAACCTCAGTCCACTGCCAATTGTATTCAATGAATTCAGAATTTAGGAAAGCAGAGAACTGCACAGTTACAGAAGAGTTCATTTCAGACTGTAGGCCTGACTTTCATTCTAAATACAAAAACATCTGATTAAATCAGACTGTCCTAAAATATAGACATTGGTTTTCCACTTCATTAATTTACTGAGGTTCTATAATACACAGCTCTTATCAAGTGCTAAGCGATGCTCAGTAAGAATGATGATACCTATAATTCTAGCACTAATGCTAGTAATAACCATTAGTGGCTTCCAGGGAAAAAATTCAAGCAAGTATAGAGGAAAGACATGCCAGATCTAGATGTCTTTATCAAATAATATTCATTTAAAGGAGCTCTGGTGGCGTAGTGCCTAAGGCAGTTGACTGCTAACCAGAAGGCTGACGTTTCAAACCCACCAGCCACTCCTCAGAAGGAAGGCTGGGCAATCCACTTCCATCGTGATACTGCCTCGGAAATGCAAGAGGGGTCGCTATGAGTTGGAGATGACTCAACGGCACATAACAACAGCAACAACATTCATTTAAAAACATTTAATAAAAATTTTTAACATAAAAATGAGTATTTTAAAATCAAAACTGCTTCTGAAAAAGAATAACTGAATTATATTCATTCTAAAATGTGGATTTTCTACTGTGTAAAAACCAAACCCAACCCACTGCTATCAAGTTGATTCTGACTCACAGTGACCCCACGGGACAGAGCAGAACTGCCCCATAAGGTTTCCAAGGCTGTAATCTCTACAGAAGCAGACTGCCACATCTTTCTCCCAGAGTGGCTGGTAGGTTTGAACTGCTGACTTGGTTAGCTGCCAAGTACTTTAACCACCATACCATCAGGGCTCCCCTTTTCTACTGCTTAAAACTTACTGAACTTATTTTTAGGAATACATAATAGTATAACATAATTATTAATTAAATATATGCATAATATCCATACAACACTCTGCAAATGCTACTTAATAAAAGGAAATATAAACTTCAGTTAGTATACCCATTACTGTGCTATAAACTACACTTGAAGAAAAAAAAATCATGTATTATTACAAAACAGCCTTCTTCCATGAGCCAAAATGTCAACATATTCTCAAAAAGTTTTTGATATATGAAAATGGTCAAAATATCTTTAAAGCAGCTGTCTTAGTTCTCTAGTGATGTTGTAACAGAAATACCACAAGTGGAAAACTTTAACAAACAGAAATTTATTCTTTTACAGTTTAGTCCAAATTCAGAGTGCTGGCTCTAGGGGACAGGTGAAGGCCCCTCAACTTCGGGCTTCAGCTCTGCCTCTTGCTCCAGGCCCACTGGAACTAGAGGCTTCTTCTAACTCACGCAGCTTTGCCTGCTGAGGCTGACGAATCCAAGATTGGCAGGTAAAATGGCACAATCCCAAGATTAGCAGGCAACACAGCAGTCCACTGGTTCAAATCCAGGAACACAGGATCCAAAATGTGCCAAAAAGCTAGAGACCTTTCTCAAAGCTTCTCCATATGTACTGGAAGCAGGCCATAGCCCAAAGGCAACTACTTAGCTGCTCATAGTGGATTCCAACTCATTGTGGGGAATAACTACACCCAGATGCCCAGCCACTCAAAATGAAGGCCCAGCCAAGGTGACAAACAACCTTAACTACCACAGCAGCCAAGCTTGAGAACCAGTTATATAATAACTAACTGATGGTTAAATGATGGCCCACAGTCATCAAGTATATTTTAAATTATGTTTTATATGTCCTGTTTGAAAGGTCAGAAAATAGGAAATACATGAAAATTTTTCATTTATAACAGTTTATAGATTAATCCTAATAATTTAGACTCTCGGGATTTCCAGGGTATCCATGGTTTACTGTAATAATTCTGTTAACTTCTCTTTGGGTTGTCAGTCAAGTCAATTTCACACCACCATACATATCAGAGGTCATCTTGGCTAGATGAATTCTTCCTAATATCTTCCCATCAACTCATGCAACCATTTCAGTTTCCTCTTTCAAAAAAGTACCAGTTTAGCATATAATACACCATCCTTGATAAACAGAAAGCATCTCAAACTGACAAATATTACATGTCACTATTTAGTTAGGGAGCTCTGGTGGTGGAGTACCTAAGGCATCTGACTGCTACCCAGAAGGCTGGTGGTTCAAACCCACCAGCCACTGCTTGGAAGGAAAGTTGGGCAATCTACTTCTGTAGTGATACTGCCTCAGAAACCCAAGGAGGGGTTGCTATGAGTTGGATCCAACTCCACAGCAGTGAGTTTGATTAGGCTTGGTATTTAGTTAAGCCATTCTTTGGAGTATATGACCAACACTGTATTTGAGTAATCAGGGAGTACTGGGGATGTACTTGGTATTCTGGTAATAGAGTAGATCACAACCCTGCATTAAAGAATCTAATGGGGAAATAAAATATATATTATTAAGACAAAAAATATACTGGCTACTAAGGAGTCCCTGGATGGCACAAATGGTTAGATGCCCAATTACTAATGAAAAGGATGGCAGTTCAAACCTACCCGGAGGCACCTTGGAAGAAAACCCTAGGTATCTGCTTCCAAAGGGTCATAGCCATGAAAAGTCTATGGAGCTCAGTTCTACTCTGCAACACATATGATTGAACACAATTGAACTCAACCTGAAGGTAGCTGCTTTGATTTGGATTTACAGACTAGTAAACAGCACTTGGGAACTCTGGTAGCATAGTGCCTAAGGCACGTGACTGCTAATCAGAAGGCTGGTGGTTCAAACCCACCAGCCACTCCTCAGAAGGAAGATGGGGCAATCTACTTCTGTAGTGATACTGCCTCGACAACCCAAGGAGGGGTCGCTATGAGTTGGGTCCAACTCGATGGCACATAACAACAACAACAAATAGCACTTATTTGTTGCAGATGATCTGCAATTCAGTAAACCAGAACTAAGGATGTCAAGAGATATAAATCTGGATATGCTGTTTAGTTACCTGTTGCTTTCGTTTTAACTCTTCAAGTGCAGCTTTAGTTTCTGCTTCTTTTATCTGTTTATATAAATTTAAAAGGAAATTTTTATTGTAATCATCAGATTTTACATAAAATTTTAACATCTTCTTCCCCAAACTCCCCTAACCATAACAACTTTGGAGAGCTTTATATTGGAAATTATTTAAGGAAATGAAACTGTTACACTGAGAAATGTTACCAAGGCACTGTCTAATAAATTTAGTGGGAAGACAAGTGTTATACCTTATATAAACATTTCACCTTACCCATCTATTATAAAAAGATATTAGATCACAATTCAAAGAGTTAAAACACTTCATTTTTCTTGAGTTACTATAGTAAGAATTTATAGTCAATTACTACATACCACTGTTTCTCTAGAGTGGAGATTGATCATTTACCTTTAATGTCCTATCTGGAAGTCTTTAGTTTCAAACCAAATCAAGAGTTTATTCATTGACTGGATTGATGGAAACAAACAGTGAGACTAAAGATAATCTGAACAGCAAAGAATCACAAAGTCTTATTTTCAGAAGGCTTAGCTAATGTTATGAAAGCCAGGCAGTAAAAAACACACCTCAGATTCAAGATAAGCCTATCTGGGCTTTTATTACAAAAGCAAAAAGATGAAATTCAAGTTATGTTTTTAATATAAGTGCATAAAGAAACATTAATTTTAATTCTCATGCAATAAGAAAATGCCATTAGCACATTAAAAATGTATTTAACACGCTATTACCTCAGATGCTTTCCGCTTCATTTCCTTGCATGTTGCATCACATTCTATTGAAATCTGATTTTCACGTACTTTATTGCACTGCAAATCCTGCAAATAATCAGAATTTCACATTTTAAATAATCATCCCTCAAAGTCCTAACTGATGCCATTAAAAAAAGCAAAAACTCCCTAATTTAATATTAAACATATTATTTAATAGTCATGTTCATTAAAATTTAATGGTATGGCTATAAGCATTAAATGTCTTGGTTCAAATAGTGATTATTTATTTTCTCTTAATTACAAAAAAAAATGAATACCGTAAAATTGGAATTCATTTAATAATTACTTACTATGTGCCACTACTAACTTAGCTCCAATTTAATTTCTTCTTTACTGTTTCTTTTTTCTCTTGTAAAGCATCCAGGGAATAAAATGCTCTAGAGCACTGCTGTCCAACAGAACTTTCTAGGGTAAGAGGGATGTTCTCCACCTACATTATCCAATAGAGCAGTACTTACCACATATGGTTACTGAGCAAATGAAACATGGCTCGTATGATGGAAGAACTGATTTGTTTAAAGTTATTTAATGTTGATTCATTAAAATTTAAATAGCCACATGTAGGTGGTTACCATCTATCTCAGTGCAGTTCTAGAGCGTTTTTTGAAAAGCTGCTAATATTTCTCTGAACTATTAAACTTTTTTTAAGTTGAGATGAAAATTATTGTGAAGCTATGTTTACACTTCCCTGCCTCCTTAATAAAATAAGTGGAAATTAGTCTTTCTTGATGACATGACGTCAAAACTACAATCAATGTCAGTACCATGCTCTAATAAAATGTCCTACTAAGTTGAAGAGAATAGTGGTCTTTATTTTAAATAGTCTTACACTTTGCCTTGTAGTTCTTTTATACTGTTGTTGATTCAATTGTGTCTCCCCCAAAATATATGCTCTAAATCCTAATTCCTATACCTATGGATGTGGTCTCATTTGGGAACAGGGTTTTGTTATGTTAATGCGGCCATTATCAGTGTAAGGTATGTCTTAAACCAACATGTCTGATACACAAGAGCTTTCCAGACACAGAAGCAAGTAGGAAGGATAGGTGGGAGAAGACAGATGCGAGGCTACATTAAGATCTTCAGGAAACCAAGGAAGAGAAGCTGAAAAGAGAGGACTTTCCTCAAAGCCAATATATAGACAGTCCTTCCCTAGATAGAGCCTGTAACCTGAATTCAGACTTCCAGCCTCCTAAATGGTGAGAAAATGAATTTGTTTTCTAAAGCCACTCACTTGTGGTATTTTTGTTGTAGCAGTATTAAACAACTAAGGCATCTGCCTTTTATTCATTCTCTATTTCTTAACACACAGTTCTAAGTGAAATTATTTATGTGAGTTTCTTCTTTCTCACTTATCTACCATACTATGAAATTCCAGTTTTTTAACTTCAAATCTAGCACAATCAAGAAAATGTATCAAGTTCTGGTAAGATGGCAGAATAGGCAGAAAGACTGCACAGACCCTCTTCAACAAAGAAAAATACTAAATACCAAAGGGGACCCAATTAACACAGATACAGAAGATAATCTTGCACCCCTGAGCCTTGAAGGGAAGGATAGAGAAGTAGACTAAAATACAACTAGCAGAAAAATTTGCACGAAAACACCAAAAAAGGAGACATATGGAGCTGCAGTCTGGCAGTGATCCTGACGGAGACTGCCGAGTGGTGGTAGGACCTAAGAATTAACCTAAATATCGGTCCTGCTAGCCAAGGACTGCACGGAGGACTGCTCTGGTAGCTGGGGAATAAAAGGGAAAGCAGCGAAGAGCAAGGAGGGCTGAGCTGTGGACTTTTCTCTGTCCAGAGGGCGCAGGCATTTTGACTGTTTACAAGCAGCTTGACCATTTTGGATATTTAAAGCAACAGGGTTCTCCCAGATTCCAAGGACTTAAGAACAGGCTCCAGGTGCCAGGAAACCCAATGTCCTGGGACATTCTGGACCAAGACAACTGGAAAAGGGTGACATTCCCCTTGTTACTCTTATATCCCACACCCTCTTGGTGAATGGAGGTGCAGCCCTCCCCACTCCCACCCACTTTCTGGGCCGGCAGGAATTCCATCCCACTTTGTGTGCCTGGACAGAGCCTGGGTGCCCTGCCTCACCCTGCCCCGATTTTTTTTTTTCTGTTTTATAGTTTGTTTGTTTTTGTCTGTTTTAAAACTACTATTATTATTATTACTTTGGTCCATTTTACTATTATTCTTTATTCCTCCACTCCCAGGTTCTACTTTTCAGCTTTTTTTCTTTTCCCTGTTCCTGGCTGCAATTTTTTTT